AAGAGAAATCCTAAAATTCATATGAAACTACAAAAGACCCTGAACAGCCAAAGCAATCCTGAGAAAGAACAACAAAGCTGGAGGCATCACACTTCCTGAATTCAAACTATATTATAAAGATATAATAATAAAAGCGTTATGGTACTGGCATAAAAACAGACACATAAACCAATACGACAGAATTGAGAACCCAGAAATTGAGAACCAACACATACAGTGAGCTAAGATGAAAAGAGAGCCAAGAATACTCGATGGAGAAAAGACAGTCCTTTTAATAAATGGTGCTGGGAAATTGGATAGTCACATGTAAAAGAGTAAAACTAGATCCCTATTTTACATCACTCCCAAAAATTAACTCAAAATGGATTAAGAAATTAAACATAAGACCTGAAACCATAAAACTCCTGGAAGAAAACACAGGAATAAAGCTTCTTGACATGGGTCTTGGCAAAAGACCAAAGCACAAAAGACTAAAGCACAAGCAACAAAATAAAAAATAAACAAGTAGGACTACACCAAACTAAAAAGCTTCTGCACAGGAAAAGAAACAATAACAAAATGAAAAGACAACCTAAGCAATGGGATAAGATATTTGCAAATCATATCTGAGAAGGGGTTAATATTCAAAATATATAAAGAACTCACACAACTCAAAAGAAAAAAAAATAAGTTAAAAATGGCCAAAGGATCTGAATAGACATTTTTCCAAGAAGACATACAGATGGCCAATAGGTACATGAAAAGGGTAGATAACAACACTAGTCAGGGAAATCAAATCAAAACCGCAATAAGTTATGACCTCATACCTATTAGATTGGCTGTCATCAAAAACACAAGAGAAGAAGTTCTGGAGAGGATATGGAGAGAAGGGAACCTTTGTGCACTGTTGGTGGGAATGTAAATTGGTACAGCCACTATGGAAAACAGTATGGAGGTTTCTCAAAAAACTTAAACATAAAACTACCATATTACCAGCAATCCCACTTCTGGGTATATATCCAAAGGAAACAAAATCACTATGTCAAAAAGATAACTGCACTCCCATGTTCATGTTCATTAGAGCATTACTTACAATAGCCAAGACATGGAAACAACCTAAGTTTCCACCGACAGATGAATAGATAAAGATGTGGTGTATATACAGTGGAATACTGTTCAGCCATAAAAAGGAAACCCTGCTATTTGCAACCATATGAATGGACCTTGAGGGCATTATGCTAAATGAAATGTCACACAGAGAAAGACACGTACTGTACCATCTCACTTATATGTGGTAGCTAAAAAAACTCAAATTTATAGCAAAAAGGATCAGATTTGTGGTTACCAGAGGCAGAGGGTGGAGAGAATGAGGTGAAGGGGGTCAAAAGATATCAACTTCCAGTTTTAAGATAAATTTAAGTACTGGCTGTGTAATGTTCAACATGACAAGTATCATTGCCAAGGCTGTATTGTATATTTGAAAGTTGGTAAAAGGGTAGACACCAAAGTTCTCACAAGGAAAAAAAAAATGTAATTATATAAGGTGATGGATGTTAACTAAACTTATTTTGGTAATCATTTCACAATATATACATATGTCAAGTCATTTTGCTATACACCTTAAGTTTATACTTAAGGTGTTATTTATTTATACTTAAGGTGTTATTATATGTCAATTATCTCTCAATAAAACTGGAAGAAAAAATAATAAAAGGAAGTAATTGTTGTATTGCTATCTGCAGGAAGTTATCTCTCTGTCAGTCTTATGTATTTTATTTCATGATTGACCCTCAAACATCTGGGGAGAGGGGAGTTCAGTATTAATTCCAAATATTTTCTTTAAAAAAAAAAAATTTTTCTTCTAAGGAAGACTTTTGAAAGTTTTGTCCAAAAGCATGATTCTTTGGAGAAAACATACTCCAAAATAATTGTAGTGACATAGTCAATAGAATTTCATGATTTTGTGTTTCAGTTTATTCATCTTTTTTTTCTATCATTTTTATTCTACTTTCCATAAAGTTGGAGATAATCAAATGAATTTCACTGTAACCTTTAATTAATTGTAACTATTGTTATGGACTGAGTATTTGAGTCCCCCCAAATTCACATATTGAAGCCATAACCCCCAATGTGATGGTATTTGGAGGTGGGGCCTTTGGGAGATAATTAGGGTTGGATTAGATCATGAGGGTGGGACCCTCATGATGGATTAGTGCCCTTATAAAAAGAGGAAGAGGCAGGAGATCTCTCCACCATATGAGGATACAGCAAGAAGGCAGCTGTCTGAAAACCAGCCAGGAAGACAGTTCTTACCAGAACTCAACCATGTTGGCACCGTGATCTAGGACTTCCCAAGCTCCTGAACTGTGAGCAATAATGTCTGCTATTTAAGCAACCCAGCCTATGGCATTTTGTTACAGCAGCCCAAAGCCAACTAAGAAATGTTTAATAACTGGTTCGTTTAACGTTACAAAATACAAAGAAAACATGATTTATAAGCCTGGATAATAATGGCCTTATATATTTCATGCAAAGTAAAAACTGTACCTTCTCATACCCTAATAAAGCTATTTCACTTCTTTTCCCATTTAAGAATTAATTAGGATGCAACAATGTCTTAGAAAAGCCAATATATATAATATAGTTGTCTACCTAGGATAATCCAAAATCCATAGTCTACCTTCAGAAAATCAGAAAGGAATTTACATGCAACTACAAACTAGAGAAATAATTTTGCACTCATGTCCTTTGAGCCCAGTTAAAAAACAGGATTTTAACTTAATTAGCTGCCAGAATCTTAAACACATTGTTTCACGTTCAGGTGGGTTGTGTGCACCTGGTGCTTCACTGGGGGGTTTCCACTGTAAAGCTGGTCCACTGAAGCACCCTAAATTGCCCTTCTGAATAAATGGTATGAAATGTGTAAACTGTTCCCCAGCCCTTCCTCAGAGGGCTGTTGGGAACCCTGGGCCTGGGATGGATGTCAGTAGGGATCTGGTGCACCCGGATTCCAGGCACGGTCACCCTTCAGGAGAGCAAGGCTTCTTTCCTTGACAGACTCACTATCTATGTAATAGTGTCTGGATTTGTAAATTTATGTGCTTATCATAAATATCATTCAGAAACATCATCTCAGAAAAGCTCCAGATTACTGAGAGGCGAAAGCTTCTTGCACTGAGTTACCTGTTAGGGCAACAGTCACACGAGGTTCACTCTTGTATTCCTGTAGTTTTACTTTATAACTTCATGTTTGCATTAGTAAACGTGTTGACAGCTTACTAATCACGTTAGTAATTAGTAAAGAAACAGTTTGAGTTTTAATAAGTAAACTGTGTGAATTACTGATGTTATATTATCCTATAATACTACTTCTGAATTTTTAAATTGCCTTTTCAAGATTTCCTCAGAAAGATAACAGGCTCCCTCTAGCGGGAAGTGACCATTATAATTGAATTATTTACTCCAAAGCTGTGTAACTTCATAGTTGAACTTTGTTTGAAGGAAAAGGGGCCTTTTCTGACTCTGACATTTGTTTATTTCTCTCCATAACATTTGTTTACTTTTCTCTTTCTAATTTCTTAGCAAAGAAATCGGTACTGATTATCAAGGAATGTCTGTAGGACAGTCATGGTTTCAAGTCATGTTGATGCCGTGAACTGCTCTTTTATAAGCAAAGGGAAGTGAGGTTATCAATGGATGCCCAGGCATTAACTTCAACGAACTTGATAGGAAATATATATATATATATATAAACGTAATTTATATGTAATTATGTAATTTATAAATATATAAATTCTAATAATATACCTTAACTCCAAAGCCTTTATTTTCATAATTAAGTAATTTAAAGGATTATCTCATCTTGTGCCCTCATTATATGCTGAGTTTAAGTGGCATGCTCAAGATTACACATTTGGAAGTCTGCTTTTTGACCTCTGAGTTCTGATTAATTTTACAGAAAGCAAGCCTTGTTCACTTTGGCTTTTCTTTATGAGAAAAAATGACCAAAATCCCATGCTTTTTTTTTTAAGTAATTAGCTTTCTGCCCCATATCATTTATAATGAAAACTAAAACTGTATTTTTATAGAGCTTAGTCAAATATAAAAATGTTAATTCTGGGGCTTCCCTGGTGGTGCAGTGGTTGAGAGTCCGCCTGCCGATGCAGGGGACACGGGTTCGTGCCCTGGTCCGGGAGGATCCCACATGCCACAGAGCGGCTGGGCCCGTGAGCCATGGCCGCTGAGCCTGCGCGTCTGGAGCCTGTGCTCCAAAACGGGAGAGGCCAAAAAAGTGAAAGGCCCGCGAACCCCAAAAAAAAAAAAAAAAAAAAGGTAATTCGGAATCATCAAGAAAAATTAAAATTGCACCCAGGCAAGGAAGTAACCTATTACAGAAATGGGTTTTGGTTTTACAACTGGTAAAGAAAAAAAAAATTTAATGAAATTTAGTATTGAGAGTGACATATATCCCAAACTGGTAAATAACCAATAACCAACTCCAGGAAGACTGGTTATAACAAGCTATAGAAACTTTCAGGTTTAGAATCTCATATCATACATTTCACCTATCCCACATTTTAAAAAAAATTTTTTATTGTGGTAAAAGTCACATAATATAAAACATACTGTTTTAACCGTATTTAACTGTACAGTTCAGTGGCTCTAAGTACATTCATACTGCTGTGCAACTCTCACCATCATCCATCTACTGAATTTTTCTCCTAAACTGAAACACTGCCCCCATTAAACGCTAACTCCCCATTCCCCGCCAGAGATTGGGATTGACATACGTACACTCCTAGGTATGAAGCAGATGGCTGGTGGGGGCCTAACTGTATAAGCACAGGAGAAAAAAAAGGTACAGTCTGTTTGCAGGGCAGGTATTAAGTTAACCTATCCCGCATTTTACAGGTCATCTATCAAAGTGTGTGCTTAATTGCTTTTTGGTAACTCTTGACAAAGCCATTCTCCACTGGAGGGAGCTTGGCTCTCACCAAACTTATTTTCTTATTTTCTTACAGCAAATCATAGGATTAGTTTCGGAACACTGGTCAGCACTTCCAATACCTACGATGGATCTGGTGTTGTGACTGTGGAAACAGACCAGCCCCTTCTCTGGACCATGGCCGTCAAAAACACCCATGACTGACCTCCGCAGCTGTGCCTCTGACCTCATTTGCCAACAACTTCATGCTCCACAAGAACAGTTCACCTTGGTTGGCAGGAATCTAAACCTGTCCCTGAGAAGCCTGCTAGTTTTAAATATGTTAATGTTTAGATCATCCAGGTAACATTATGAATGACAGATCTCAATTGTACAATGACGGGGGGAAATCATTATTTCTTAAGAAAGTAAATTACACTCAGTTGGAAAACTAATGTGGATTATTCCACTCTAAAATTCAGGACTGATCATTCTTATGTTATTAATCATTCCATGTATCCTAGAAAACTGTTGGTTTTTATTTTTGCGGTACGCGGGCCTCTCACTGTTGTGGCCTCTCCCGTTGCGGAGCACAGGCTCCGGACGCGCAGGCTCAGCGGCCATGGCTCACGGGCCCAGCCGCTCTGCGGCACGTGGGATCCTCCCGGACCAGGGCACGAACGCGCATCCCCCGCATCGGCAGGTGGACTCTCAACCACTGCGCCACCAGGGAAGCCCTAGAAAACTGCTTTTAGGTTTGAATCTGAGAAGGCTCTGTTGAGGCGCCGTGCTGTCCAGCACATAACCCTCCCCCTGTTCATCCTTAATTGCTTAACACCAAAGGCTACTTCTGTCTAATAATATTAGCTCTTTCTGTATTATATGTATTCCCTTTCACTGAAAAAAGAATTCCTTCTAGCTTGGGATGCTAGAACTGCACCATTTTATTCTTGCCTTAATGGTTTTTGGTATTATCTTTTCATAATAAATTTAAAAATGATTGGCCTGATTATTAAAATTTAAAACAGGTAGAACCTGCCCAGCAGCTTTACATAGCGCAAAGCCGGTGTTGCCCTAAGGAAAGGGACCAGCAGCTCTCTTCTTTCTGGTGCTACAACAGAGTGACGGTTGCGTTGTAAGTGGAGAGTGAAAGTGGGATCAGGTGAACTAGCATGCAGTTGTGCATAGTCAATCATTAGAGATAATTATTCATAATTTATGCAAATATATGTGAAATTGAATCCAGATGTCAAATAAAAATATTTAGTTATCCATGTGCCTGTGGTCAGTTTTTAAGAAAACAATCCATTTTCTCACCTGTATTTTATAATGACCAGTCTTTCCTAATCAGTGTTTCTGTACAAAAAAAAAATTTGCTCAAAAGATGATTAATAGGTATAGTTCTTCACGCCTCTGATTTTGGGGAGGCAACCCAGTGTTGTTGTCAACACTTTCTCTAACCTCCATGGAAGTTAACTTTCTAGAGCACATGTGCCACATGTTTACACTTAATCTCTCTGGACCCATTGCCCCATCTATAAAATAGGGATTATAGGTAGCACCTGTTTACCTTGTCGGACTTAGAAAGGAAGGACAGGTAGATTGCTTTCAAAGATTGTTACATGCTGGAGAAAAAAGAGCCAACAGAGGGAAGGCGCTTCCGTGGTAGAGAAAGTGAAGAAAACTGGTGGAGGAAGAACCCCGGGGAAGAGTAAGAGAAGGGCTCAGAGCACAGGTGAGAGTCGCACATCGCACAGTCAGTACTACAGTGGAAGGCCCGGTTCTGGGCCCTTCTGCCTCTTAGCACAGATGCAGAGCCCAGAGCTTCTGTCCCCCTACTGTCTCCTCCCACCCACAGCAGAGACAACTGTAAAGAAGGCAGGAGCTAGAGACAAACTTATGTTACCAAAGGGGAAGGGGTGGGGGAGAGATAAATTGGGAATTTGGGGTTAACAAATGCACACTACTACATATAAAATAGGTAAACAACAAGGACCTACTGTACGGCACAGGGAACTAGATTCAATACCTTGTAATAACCTATAATGGAAAAGAATCTGGAAAAGAATAGATACATATATATAAAATTGAATCACTTTGCTGTACACCTGAAACATTGTAAATAAACTATACTTCAATTTAAATAAAATAAATTTTAAAAAAATAGAAGAAAGCTCAGTCAAGCACTAGCTCCTAAGCTGGCTCATTTAACTCAGAACCTCCAACGGGAAAATATAACATAAGACCTCCAAGCCACTGCCTCAGCCACTGCCTGCGCCAGAAGAAGCTAGAAAGAGGAAGGACACTGGGAAAGGGCCCTCCCAGTACCTGATACTGAGTTCTGGTTCACTTACAGTTTCAGGCTCAGCTGTTACCTGTTCATTACTAAAAATGCATTCACAACATATGGAATCTGAAAATATGTCCACTGTTTTAAGATTTTACTGCAAAAGAGTCATGCCCTATGTACCCTGAAAATTTTACCAGTGTTAATAAGCAGATACTTGACAAGAAGAATATAGTTTGCTGAAGTTGAGGGGGGAACAAAAGCACTGAGATTCATCCCAGACCACCCACTGGAGGCCGGTGGAAGCCCTTCCCCTCAAGTATAGGGCTCCTCTCCCAATCCTGCCAGGCTACTGAACAACTAGGTATTTGACCCCTTTCTAGCCCTTAAAACTACCTAAGTGCAATTTTCCTCTTTTTTTTTTCTTTTTTGCGGTACGCGGGCCTCTCACTGTTGTGGCCTCTCCCATTGCAGAGCACAGGCTCCGGACGCGCAGGCTCAGCGACCATGGCCCACGGGCCCAGCCGCTCCGCAGCATGTGGGATCTTCCCGGACCGGGACATGAACCCGTGTCCCCTGCATCGGCAGGCGGACTCTCAACCACTGCGCCACCAGGGAATCCTCTTTTTGTGCTTCCTCACCACATCATTTAAACAAGGACCCACTTACTTTTATACCAACATGAAGAGTCTGACGATGGACCTCAGGGGCCCCCAGTGAACTTTCTGGGCTCCCCAGGCAGCCCCTCTTGCCGCCCCCATGTTCAGTCTGGATCCTGACCTCCCACTTGCAGCCAGAAGAGAAACTGGAAGCTGAGCTCTGCCGGGAAAGTGGCCTGTGCTCCTTGGCCCTTTTGACCGCGGTCTGTCTCTCCTCTTCATGGGTCGGATTTATAGCTTTTATGAATCTAGTGATGGTCACCCCAAAATGGCATCTGGCTGCCTAAGTCACTGAGTAGTGAAGATAAGCTGTGATCACTCTTCAGGCAGCTGGGAAATGGCTGCAGCTATGGAAACCCTGGTCGGAGTCACAAGTGACTATGAAATGTAGTAAGTTTCGTGTGCTGTCCGAGGAATTAGAGGAGGACCACGCTCCCAGACACAGTTCGGGCAGAATAATACATCTTCATTCCTTAATTTTTGCTAAGCAGACACAGAGCAGTTTTCACTTGGGATGGGACCTAGGGCCGTTTCACTTGTTCAGGGGTCAGTCAGAGCATGGAGAAGGGGGCCATGACAGCCTGGGCCTTCATAAAGGTAACTGCTCAGGGTTTCGTGCTGTGCTTCTGTATGTGTGGAAAGCATTTTAAGCGGACCTTGCTTACTACTCCTGCCCCAAATTCATGCCTCCAAAGCTTTACTTGAACAACCAAAGTAAAGCAGCATGTGGATTTGGTGTGATTGAGACTGATGCTATACGCGCAGTCCATAAGCGGCAAGAAACTACTCTTCTCTCCCCTAAGGCTCTGGGATTATAAAAGGAGTATGGTCTGAATTGTGACTTTCAAACTATATTGACCATGACCCACAAGAAATACAATTTGTCTTGTAATCTATTCTACACACACACACACAAACACACACACACAGTGTACTCTAATAATTTTACTCTAAATTGAAAAACACCCAGGAGTCTATTCTAGATTGAAAAAAAATACAGAAAAGGGTAAAGTAAAATGCATAAAGGGATTTTTTTTAACTGTGCGTGTGTGTGAGAGTGTGTGTGTGTAACGGTTCTGCATTAGGCATACATGTCTTTCCTAAGTTTAGGACAATATGAGTATAGTTTACCACTGTATCTTCACCACTTAATAATAGTTTTTATTCTCATATGTGGGCTAAGAGGAATAACCCACCAATGACAGCAGGCTGAATGTGATCCTATTGGGGAATAAGAAAATCAATTTAACTTCATTAGGAATGGGGAGGAGAGCTAGATTATTTAAATTGTGTCTAAAGCATTCTACTCAAAATAGAATAAATGATCCCCATACCTGGGGAAGATTAAAACTGAAGCCACAAGGTCAAGCCATTCCCAGGGTGTCAATATATATGGAATGCAAAATTCCTGGCTCATACAGTACACGTTCGCCCTTCCTTGCCCACAGCAGATTCCACTTATCAATCAGTTTTCTTTTCTGATGAGCCCCGGTCTGAGTGTCATTTCAGAACAATTCTGCACGCAGCCACGATCAGTTATTCTGCATTGCCCTGGCACCCCCGGGGGCTCAGAGCTCATCTGCGATCTCAGCACTGTGCACACAACAGCTACAGTTACAACCTCGGAGAGAAGTCATGGCAACACCATTCTTCGTCACAGGTAATGGATAAGTAAACATATTCAAGGACTTGTTTCCTATGTACTTAATTTACCACTGAAAGCAAGGGCTTTGTACAGTACATAGCAAACAAAAAAGAAAACCTAAGGCCATCTCTGCAAACAACTTGAAAAACATCAGCAAGGAGCTGAGATTATCCATTGCTAAGAAATAAGAAATTTTTCCTAATAGACCTATAGCTAGTCCCTGAGAACCAAGAAATCTCACATTATAATACGGTGTTCGTCCAAAGGCTGAAAAGGGTTTTTAACTCACTGTAAAAGGAATGGATAAGACTAAGATTATAAATCATAGCTTAATTATTTATTTCTTTTAAACATACCTTTAAGCCCTAAAGACTAGTGAATATTTAATAGCCAGTTATGTTTCTGAACAATAAACATGGGAAGTTAGGAGTATACAATTCTGCAGGAACTGAGCAGACTCCCACCTGAATGGCATAATTAATTCTGTGCTTAGTTGCTTAACACTATGGATCCTCTGCTGGAATATAAAGTCCTTGAGAGTTTGTGTTTGGACTTTGTGTTCCTTGTTATCTGCTATATTTTCTGTCTTAGAATAGGGCCTTGCCTGCAGCAGGGGTGCAAAAAATATTTGTGTGGTGCCTTAACTAACCTCCCCACTTGGACCCAGGCCCCAGGAACATACTGCATGACTTCCCTAGCCCCTAAAAACTGTCATTCTTTTCCTTCCTTGATCCCTAACTATCCAAAATTTAATTAGATGCTAAAGTTTCTCTTGAACGGTTTCCTCAGTCCTAAAGGTAAGTGCCTAATTCTAGACTGGGGAGACCTGGTTATAAACTTGCTCTCTCACATATCTGAAGAAGGAAATAATGTTCACAGTGCCAAAGCTGGGCTTAAACACATCATCCAAGACAAAATACAGCCAGTAACACAAAGGAAGTCAAAAGATCAAGGAATTTGAAGTTGCTTGATATGGACAGAGAAGGGAAAATGAGAGCCATGGGCAAATTATGATGAAGGTTTGGGAAACTGGTTAAAATAATCAAGATCAGGGACTTCCCTGGTGGGGCAGTGGTTAAGAATCCGCCTGCCAATGCAGGGGACACGGGTTCGATCCCTGGTCTGGGAAGATTCCACATGCCGCAAAGCAACTAAGCCCACATGCCACAACTACTGAGCCCACGTGCCACAATTACTGAAGCCTGCACACTCTAGGGCCAGCGTGCCACAACTAATGAGCCCACATGTTGCAACTACTGAAGCCTGCGTGCCTAGAGCCTGTGCTCCGCAACAAGAGAAGCCACTGCAATGAGAAGCCCGCACACCACAACGAAGAGTAGCCCCCGCTCGCCACAACTAGAGAAAGCCCACATGCAGCAACAAAGACCCAACTCAGCCATAAATAAATAATTTTTTTTTAAAAAAAAAAAGAATCAAGGTCAAAATAAATGTGAAGAGCACTTGCAATTGGCCTGAACTGCCAGGACAAAAAAGGAAAAACAAGAGGTAACAAAGAAATTTTTCAGAGTTGGAAATCGTTTAGCTGCAGCTATTTCTAACATCGGTGGTTCAAGGAATGCCCTTGGCTGTCATTTGTTGAAATAGACTACAGATAAGAATATATGTTATTTTCAAATACTTCGAGACCATGGCATGCAATTCTGCTATTTCCTTTGC